TGCCTTTCCATGGCCCCGTCCTGCCAGCACCCTTTAAGCAGCTCTTGCCAGCGCTGACAGGCGCAGCGGTTTGCACAAACGCATTTACCACTTACCACAGCCACATAACTCCGTAAGCAGCCACCTGTAACTTGTGGGGGACGTGGGATCCTGCTGCCTTGGGCATAATGCCAGTGGATGGGCAAAAACACGTGTGCTGGTGACTCCAATTCAGCCCAGGACTGCACCCCCAGTGCAAATTAATGCAGAAAAGTTTGTTTGATCTGGTGCAGAGCTGGAAGGGGATGCCGTAAGCAAGTAAAGTCCTCTGGGTTGGTTTTTTTTTTATCTGCAAGATCCTCTTTAAATGATCTCTGTGGAGGGATCTTTAATACTACTTTAAAGAAAAAGTAAGGGAAAGAAAAATTACATCCAGAGTGTGTGGTATGACAGTGTTTTAATTTAAAGTACAGCTTGTGCTTTCCTCTTACTTGGGAAGAGCACAGTTTGGGGAAACTTTGATTTTAGTAACAGATAGCCTGTGAGAGCTGGGGGGGAGTAGTTACTGGACTGTTTCAGTGTAAGCTGCTTAACCATTCACGTGCTGTATGTGTATTCTTGGGATGCCAGGGCTGAAGCTCGTGCTGGTTTTTCTTTTGTATGCATTTTTTTTTGTATGCATTTTTTTTTCCCCTCTTCAAAAGCATCCAGCAATACTTGGGCCACTGAACAATACAGAACGAGGTTGGCAATAAGACTGCTACAAAGGGGTAAAGGTGGAAGAGTGCTTGCTTTACAGAGAAAAATATAAAGAGGTTTGTCCCAATTTCCACCTCGTTCTAGTTGACATTTCTGTGTTCACCTTCAAGTTTCTGACGAATCACTGTCTGTGGTTTCTACTAGAGTCCTTTCATAAGATTTGCTTAACCAGTGTGGAACAGTCTTTGTAAGGAGATACTGTATCTTAATCTCTATTACTGAATTCCTAATTGTGAGGTGGTTGTTGCTGTTGTATTGCCAGTATTGTGGGTTTTCTGCTGTGCCCTCCCTCTATCTGCAGCTTGTTGGAAGACTGTCCCCGGCAAAATGCCTTTGACTCAGGAGCAATGGAAACTTCCCAGGGTCAGCTGTGAGCATTGCCATTCGTGGAATAACTCAGGGGATTAAAACCCAATCATAATAAACATGGATTTTGCTGACTTCAAGCTTGCCATAAAGACTTGCAACCACCAAACAGCCCAGACTAAACCGAGATAGCTAATTTTTAATACTTATTGCATAATGAAAGATTATACAATTTTTTTAATGTAATGAAAATTATACTCTGTCCCCACAGTTGTAACTCCTTCTATGCAGACCAACATCCCTTCATGGAGCATCCTCCAAGCACATTGCCTGGAGCTTGCTGGGACTGCCTTTGGCCAGCACCAAGAGCTTCAAAACAGTAAAACAAGACCTGCCTCTTCTAATTTAATGTTGGTTTTAATCTGCATCCGCAGCGGCAGCCTGCTAAAATCTAAATCAAATCAAGAGGTGGGGATTGAATTTATTAAGCTTCTGCTTAAGCTGAGTAGAATAAGGCATGAGGCTTCAAGAGCATTGAATGGCTTTAGTTTTATTGGGGATCTGGTTTAAAAAGACCCAAAGCGAACCAGAATTTTTGTTTTGTTTTGTTTTTTTTTTTCTTGAGAGGCTGAACGTGCAGAGCTATTTCCAGTTAATTTTAACACATCATTCATTTAAAGGCATCCTCGAGGATTGAAGAAAATGTTTTTCTTTAAAGAAAAAGAAGAGAAAATGGATGGAGACACTGGAGTGTTGGGACGTTAAGTGGTTTGCCCAGGGTTTTGTCTGCCGAGCCTAAAGTCAATTAATCCTTTGTTCCCAGTGCTTTGAGATGGATCCACCTGCCTTTTTCCTTTATAACAAGCTCCAGCAGAAGACCAGGAGGCTGTTAAGGCTCACAAAGCCAGCACATGGCATATGGAGATATGGAGTGGTATAATTGTGTTAGAGGTGTGACTATGGAAGTAGGGGTTCACAGGGATGCTCTCCTCCTGCCTGGGTGGATAGCTGCCAGGGTTGCTGTTTTTGGTGACCTGGTGGCTCTATCTCTATGGATTTAATTGGCAAATATATGGTGTATATTTGGAGGGACCAGGTTAGAGGCAGGGAATGCAGGAGGGATGAGTGAGGTGCTCCAGGTGCCCCCACCATGGGCTGCCTCCAAGCCTCGTCAGGTTTTAATTAAAGCTCTCCTTGTAAAGGTGTAACAATGACAAAGTGCTTTTATTCCAGCGCTGTGCTGGACATATTTGGGATTTATGGGTCAAAGGGAAGGCTTGGGTGGGGGTTTGTACAGCAGCCTGCCCTGCCTGGAGGGCTGAGCACTTGTGTCTCTGCTGGAGCACAGCAAGGAGGGGAGGACGGTGAAAAAGCACAACAAAACAAATGTAAAAAGTCTTCCCCTTCTCAGACGTGTGTGTGCACGCACGAGAGGACAGCATTATAGATGCTTGGGGAAATTCATTCACAGCAGCCTGTTCCAGCAGCCCCTGGCTGTTCAGCAGGATGGGAAGCACTCGGAGCATGGAGACCTTGATCACATTTGGAATCTCACAGCCAGGGACCAAGAGACCCCCAGGGCTCCTGAGACCTGGCAAACACCTCTGTCCTGTTGCCCCCTGTACTGTGTGAGCCCTTGCACATGTGTGTATACACAAAGTCCTGGAAAATCAGTTTTAAAATTCTGTTTTTTTGGTCAGGGTGGCTGATGGGGTATGAGGTCTCCCACCACTGGGTTTTGGGCAGTGGATGCTGAGAGCTGCCACCCTCTACCAGCAGTTCAGAGCCTTCTGTTGCACCTGAGTCTTGGGTGGTTCCTGGCCATGGCTGGTGATGAACTGCTGAGGAGTGACCTCTTAATGCTGCTGGAGGTACACCCAAATTTCATTTACCAAAACGTTCACAAGCACCACTGTGGTTTTTGGGTTGCTTTGGGGTCAGCGTGTCTCTGTCTGCACCTGCCTGTCCAGGCAGGTCCATGGCTCAGCCCAGCCCTGTGTGCAGGTGGAGAATTTGCAAGGTTGGCAAGACCAGCAGCATCTTGTCTTTGAAGCTGCCTTGAGCTGGGTACATCCTGATCCTTGGCTATTCTGGGCATTTCTAGAGCACGTCTGAATCTCTCTTCTGCCAGGAGAGAGCTGGCACTGGATGAATCCACAGTGGTGGGGATGAAAGAGCAGGCAAAGTGCTTTGCAGAGGGATGAGAGCTGCAGGAATGGTCTGTAAAGCACTTTCTGTAGTCTCAGAGTCTGGAGAAGCAGGTGAGGAAGGATGAGTGATGCATTGTCATCTCGCCAGCTGCACCTACTTCTTCTTTCAAGGGCCAGCCAAAGATGGGGTTCCTGGCCATGCTGCAGGGATGTGTCAGCTCTTTTTGTTTGCTGGAGGGGACAATGGAGATTGGGCTGGGGGTCCTGAACCAGCCCCTTCCTCATTGCAGCCTCCCTTCCTCGTGGTGGGGAGAGCACTTAAGGCTCATGGGATCTAGAGGTGGTGTGATGAGAGGGGGGAAAAAGAATTATTTATTTATTTATTAATTTGCTTCATGATAAAACTGCTGTTCTGGCAATACAATTGTGTAGCTCCAATAACATCTAAAGGTTCCTGCTGCTGTAGCTATTGAGCAGCTCTAAAAATAATTACAAGTGATACATATAAAAAATCCATTGCTTTTCAGCTGCAGAGAGGACTGTCAGATGGTGGCCGCTGCTGCTTTAGCTCGTGGGTTGCCACAAAATGTTACTTGGCCGTCATGTGCTTGGGTTTGGTTTTAAGATGAAGGCCGAAACTTACCTTTGATGCTCCGGTGCTTTGGATTTTCTGGAATCTCCCCCAACCCCTTGTGTTTGGAGTAAGAATAAGGTTATACGGTTCTTATTTCAATCAACAAGCAGGAGACATGCCCCCTAAATGCCAGTAAATTAGTGACAATTGAGGTGTTCCCATTGCCTCCTGTGTTGGGCTGTCTGAGTCCAGCATCAGGCTGGCTTTGTGGGTCCATGGCCAGCAACCAAAGCCTGATTTGTGATGCAGAGACGAAGCAAATTGGGGTTCCTCGTTATCAGGACCTTGCCCTGGCAGCACTGCGTGCAGGAAAACTGCTCTGGCAAAAGAAAGGCGGATGTAGAGGGTAAGGGGGAAACCCGTGGGTGGAGGTGAATGTGTTTCTGGTTGGCCTGCAGGACTTTTGTCACAGCTCCCAGAAGAAGTCCTGGAGGTCTCAGCACAGCAGTGGCTACTTGCTGAGCACAGGGGATGTTTTTATGCAGCCTGGGCAGAATCTCTGCATCACAGAAGCAATTAAACGTCGTTAGCAGGAGGTGCGGTGGCCCGGAGTGTGCTGCTCACACCTGGGTTTTATCCCTTCACACACACTTTGGCTGGGCTGTGCAGGTCTGCCTTGGGGATTTTGGTGGCAAAAGAGGTTAAATGTTGCATTTTCCTGGAGCCCTGAAGCCTGTTAGCAGGTTTGCCTCCAACTGAAGGAGCTGGCATTGGTGTCGCCTTTTGCCTGCTCCACGGCAGTGGGTTTGGGTGGGGGCTTGCTCTGTGGGAACCAAACTGTCCTGTTCTGTGCAAAATAAATACACCTCGGTGTATGGTCTGCTAGGGCTGAATTGTGTTATTTCATAAAAGCTTCTGGAAGGCTGTTTTTTTCCCAGGGAAATTAAATTCCATGTTTGCCTCGAGGCTCTACCTTGCTTTGTCAGATTAGTAACAAGCCAGCATACACCACCTCATCCAGGAGAAGCTTGACTGAAAACCAGACTTTTAAGAACTAAAACTGGAATTTATGTTGTTGTTTTTTTTTTTTTTTTTACTGAAATCATTGGTTTAGCTGCACTGACTTTACAATGAGTGTGGGATTGTATTAATAGAGAATTAATTTATTTCTCATTTAATTTCCTGAGGTTTCCTCATATTTAAACTTTTTCTTTCTTCCCTTTCCTCTACAGTACACTAGGGTTTGGATTCCTGACCCTGATGAAGTTTGGAGATCGGCAGAAATTGTCAAGGATTACAAAGAGGGAGATAAAAGCCTCCAGCTGAAACTTGAAGATGAAACTGTAAGCTTTTGAACGTCGTTATTCTTTTTAGTAATTTAAAGCTTCAAATTAATGTGTGAAGAAGCCTGATCCATCTCATAGTTTCTGTGAAGCAGTTTAAAATGTGTTTTATTGCCTTAACACTTCCAGCTCTTCCCTGCCCGCTCCCTCCCTAGACACTTGTGTTAAAGTAGGTTGTGAGAAAAGCCCTTGACCTCCATCATCTCTTTTCATCCCCTGGCAAACTTGTAATAGTCTGTGATATCAGAATGTATTCTTTTTTTTAGTAGTAGCAGTATGTTAGAAATACCAGTTTATGCTCTTTGCTGCTGAACAAAATGAGAAGAGCACGGCTGGTGGCATCTACTCAACCTTGGGTACCGATGAAAAAATCACACAGAGCACAGAACTGACTGCTGTGCAACAGCTTTCTCCACGCCTTTGTTTTTCTCTTTAAGTATAATCTTGTGTAAAACTCTCTTTTTCCTCCATTTTACTTTTAAACAAATGGGTTTTAAAAGGCAAGACCCACAAAACTCATTTAAATGTAGATGTTTTCTAGCAAGTGCTGCTTCCGAACGCACACGCAGCCAGCAATAAATCATTCCCAAAGCAGGATGGAGGCTGGGGAAAAGCAGCTGCTTTCTGTTCCGCACAAAAAGCTCATGGAGTGGGACTTTGGGTGACAGCAAGGAATTGCAGATGAAGTTAACCATGGCATTTGCATCAGCTGCAGATTTGGGTGGTTTATGGAAAGGGGGCAGCCGTGCTATGTACCCACCACGAGGTGCCTGGTGTAGCAGGAAGAATAAATACATTTTTCATGAAGAATTTCACCCAAACCAGCTTTCTTCACCGAGCAGGTAGGGTTTACTCAGTAGTCTAGAAGATGATCTGCTCTGTTGCATAAAAGAGCACTTCAAATTGAACATGCTCCAAGGAGGGCAAGTAATCCACATCCACTGCCAGCCAACCATTTCAACACTTTGGGGAATATCTTGACCATGTTGCTTAATGAGCAGATGGAGAACAGGAATGAGATGTGGTTGATGAGGCTGTTCATCAAAACAGCTTTTCTTTCACAGCAGGGCAAGCACAGGCTGTTGCCAGTGTGTGAATGTGCCAGGTTTGCAAAGAAAGTCAGTGATGCTGGAATCTGCGCCCAGGACTTGGTGCTGTGGCTTTTTCCTGGCTCAGCTGTGTCTGCTTTTGTTGTCCTCCACAGTTTGCTCTTCCAGCATAGGGCAGCTTTCTGAGAAGGGTAAAGGATGGATGATCCTACTCTTGGAGGTGCTTTTTTTACCCTCCATGGTGATAAATCTGGATGAGGAGATGCACAGATGCCACCCCACTATTCCTTGGAAGCACCAGGCACCAAGTTGCAAGAGACCTTAAAGTTCATCCAGTTCCACTGCCACGGGCAGGGACACCTTTCACTATCCCAGGTTGCTCAAAGCCCCATCCAGCCTGGCCTTGGACACTTGCAGGGATCCAGGGGCAGCCACAGCTTCTCTGGGAAACCTGTGCCAGGGCCTCACCACCCTCACAGCCAAGAATTTCTTCCTAATATCTAATCTAAACCTACCATCCTTCATCTTAAGGCCATTCCCCCTTGTCCTGTCCCTCCATCCCCTGTCCCAAGTCCATGTTGATCTCTCCTGGAGCCCCTTTAGGCACTGGAAGAGGCTCTGAGGTCTCCCTGGATCCTTCTCTTCTCCAGGTGAACACCTCTAGCTGTCCCAGCCTGGCTCCAGAGCAGAGGGGCTCCAGCCCTTGGAGCATTTCTGTGGCCTCCTCTGTTATCACTCCAGTAGCTCCAGGACCTTCTGATTCTGGGAACCCCAGAGCTGGGCACAGATGGGTGTCTGGGTGCAGATGGGTGCCCATCTCATTCACAGCAGCTCCTTCCTACCACTTCTTGTGCTCAGGCTGCCAAAGTATGTCTGCTCATATTTCTGAGTGCTACAACCTCCATCCTTCTTTTCTGGTTGAGATCTCCAGCAGTTTTAGTGCTTGGGAGGGTTTTTTTTCCCTATCTTTAATCTGGATATTTCCCTGGAAACCAAAGGGGCTAAGAAATCCTGCAAGGTCTACTCAAGAGCTGAGTATCAGCAACATTAAAGTACAAAGAGATTACTAGGTGTTGTAGGTAGTAGCTTAATAAGCGTGTCACTGTCATGGTGAGATGTGGAACATCTCATTTAGGGGTTGTGTAAGAGACCCAAGGTCTCTGGGAGCACCCTGTTTGATTCTCTTCTGTATGAAGCCCTGCCTGGATCTGAGTCATGTTGGACTGAAAAGCTTTAGGAAAGGGAGAGAGCACTCCTGTCCATCAGATTGGAGATACCCAGCGTACATATCTTCAGGGGATTCAAAGCTGTTGAAAGCCTTTTGTTCCTGACAGCCAACATGCATTACCCAACAGTTTATTGCTTCTCTTTTGTCCTTGTGCTTTAAGTGAATTTTCATGGGTTTTGTGTTTTCTGGCTCTGCTCTGTATGCAAGAGTACTCCCTCTGAATGAAGAGCTGACTTTTAAATATCACAAGGCATCCCTGGTGTGTTTGCCATTAAGATGTGAGACTGAGTGCAAACTCTTGAAAATTGGCATTGACAACATGGAATTGGAGAATAAAACCAGCCTGAGGTTGTCAGACATGCTGAGAGACCCCGTCCTCGTGCACTTGGGCCAGCTTTCCTTGTGCTGTGTCCATGGGCAGTGTTCCAGTGCTCTTTTGCTTGCAAACTGGGGTTCTTCCCTTCTGCTGGGACCTGAGTATCAGGACCCCTTTGTGAGGCACCCTGTGGGAACTAACATCACAGGAAAAATTTTTTCCTCCACTGTAAAAAAAAAATAAAAAAATAAAAATTACAGTTTTTCTTTAGTTGGTGGCTCTGCTGCTCACTTGGGGATGAGTCAAAAATAGCATAAGGCTGCCCATATGGTAACTTCAGCAGCGTAAACTGGCTCCTCAGACACCGAAGCATCAGGGACTCCATGATTCTCCATGTCCTCTCTGCCTGAAGAGGTGTCAGGTTTTGGGTATGAAAGTAACTCGAATTAAAAATGAGTTGAGAAATCGTTCTGATGGTAAGAACGTGGTCTAGTTTGAAATGAGGCTGCTTTTCAAAGAGCATGAAGGTGCTTAGATCAGATGAAGCTGTGCTTGTCTGTGTGGTGCCTGTTACTGCTCAGAGCTGGCTAAAGGCTGTTTGCCCCAAGGTTGGCCTGAAAACAACTCAGATATGCTCAGGTTGGTGCTTGTGGACCATCATGGTACTCCAGGACCTTGGTTGGCCACCTCAAAGCCATTTACCAGAAGGATGACCTGTCACCTGGTAGTGCATCATCCAGGTCCCTATAGCATTTAGCATAAAGGGGCTTTTAATTTCATTTAGAACAGGATGTGTAAGTATTTTATACTATCAGAATGGAGTTATGCTTGGATAAGTTATTAGATATTAAAGGAGCTGTTGTTTGTTGTGTTCTCATGTTCCTCATGTGTTTCTCTTCAGCTCTACGAATATCGTCTTGACCTCCAAGGAAATGAGCTGCCTCTCCTATGCAACCCAGATATCCTGGTCAGAGAGAATGACCTGACAGCCCTCAGCTACCTGCACGAGCCTGCAGTCCTGCACAACCTCAAAGTCAGGTTCCTGGAGAGCAACTTTGTCTACACATACTGCGGTGAGTGTCCAGGCCACAGGTTCAGCTCCTGGAAAGCTGTGGGTCCACAGAGAAACCCCTTGAGATCACAAGCCAGAGGCTGCAGCACGAGGAAGGTCTGGGGACTGTGATTTTGGGGTGGGTGGAAGACACAAGTGTGTGCCAGCAGGCTTTAGTTTGTAAAACCACAGGTGGTTTTTGAGGGATGGTGCACTGTGAACTTCCTGAGCTCATGGTCCAGCTGATCCAGTTCCACAGCAGCTGGTGTTTCCTCTAACTCTTGGTGGGAACATCTTGTCAGATGAGTTTGAGGCCAACTTTTTGTGTGCTTGGCAACCCCCCCAGGGAAAAAGTAGGATATAGCAAATCACCAAAGAACAGCAGCATGCCAGAAAGAGTGATCCAACTGAGAAATGTTCATAGTGGGTTTTCCACCTGAAAGACTGCAAAAAACCTTCTTGTGTTCTTATTTCCTTCCTTTTCTTAATGACTTTGGGAGTCATATAAGCCTTGAATTCAAGGTGGAAGGAGGGCAGGTGTGAACTTGGGTTTGTCCTTTTTGGGGCGGGTGGCTTGCCAAAGCTATTCAGGACTGCAGTTACCCGTGAATAAATAGCAACAAATTGCAACTTAAAAGAATCCAAAAAAAAAGAAAGAAGGCAGTTCATAAAATCCCAGGATGGTTTGGGCTGGAAGGGACCTCAAAGCTCCTCTCGTTCCAACCCCCTGCCATGGGGCAGGGACACCTTCCACTAGAACAGGTTGCTCCAAGCCCCATCCAACCTGGCCTTGGACACTTGCAGGGATCCAGGGGCAGCCACAGCTTCTCTGGGAAACCTGTGCCAGGGCCTCACCACCTTCACAGACAGCAATTCCTTCCCAAAATCCCATCTAACCCTGCTCTGTGTCAGTTTGAAGCTGTTCCCCCTTGTCCTGTGATGAGTTGCAGGATTTCAGCAAAATCCATGGGACCACTTGCATGGCAGGGCAAGGCCTGGTGTGTACAGCTGTGATGAAGTGTTTCAGTTTAGGGTTGTTGAGGAAATGCTTGGCAGGAGGAGGTGACTTTTTAAAATAGTTCCCTTGAAATATGTAGCCTCTGTGGCTGTTGTAGTGGTGACTTTCCTCCCAGTGTTTAATGATGTGTGATGTGGGACTGCTGGCATAACTTGCAGCCTTTTGCAGCTGCACTTGTGCCTTCAGTCAGCTGCAAACCTGCTCCCATCCAAAATCAGTGAGATTTCATTTGTGCAGCTTCTCGTGAAGGTTTATGATAACCTTGAGCACAGCATCACGTTAATGAAGATAAAGGGGTTTGGGCTTAGCAAGTGTAGGTTTAGCTCTGCGTGGGTACAAAGTACCCCGTGCTCTGGTTATAAAGTGGTTGAGAAGGGTGGAAAAGTGCTTATCTGGGGTAACAACAGCCCTTCAGCTTGGCTTGCGTGGTGTTTTTTGGTGACTAAGGGAAATTGGGGCACGCCCCCAACAGAACCAGGAAGCAAACAGGCAGGAGGAGGGCACAGGGAGGTGAAGCAGCTGGGTTAATGTCCTGCAGAGGCAGGTGATGTCGCTGACCTTTGCCTCCCACGGCGGGTGAAGTCACGTCTCCTGGTGTTCGCTGCCAGCTGAGGGTTCCCATCCTCTGCTGTAATTTCAGGGTGCCCAAGCCCTGAACTGGCTGGGGCCCACTCCCACCAGCCACCTGCTCCCCAGAGCCCCTCACAGTAGCAGTTTAAACCTGCAGAACCTGAAGGTGCTTCAGAGGTGGAACTTTGTCAGCGCTTACATGCAGGGCAGCTCCCTCGAGCACACGGGGAACACCACGGGTGGCTCTGCCTCTCATTAATTCCAAGGCTCACTGCCTCTTCTGGGCAGGCACGGCGTTCCTAGAGCTGGAGAGGAGGCAGACATTAAAGCTTTAATGCAGGCTCTGGCATTCCTTTCCTGTGATTTATGTGTATCAGTTTGATTTCGGGTGCATTCTTTGTTGTGAGCTTTCACTTGAGATTTAAGCCAGGGGAACCCCCAGCATGTTTGTTTGGGTCTAGCAGAGCTTTGGTTGCTTTTCTGAAGTGATCGCTCAGGCTCTATTTAGCTTTCCTCACTCCTTCTGCAAAGCCTGGCTTCACACAATGTAAGTTATTATAAATTTTTGCTCTTATCACTAGTTTTGTAGGCCTCCTGTGCAGCTGTATGGGAGCTTATTGCCTTGCTATGAAAGCACAGCCTTTAAAAGGAGATGCTGAGATAAGAATCAGGAATCCTCCCCCATTCAATTCTCATCTTTTTTTTCCCCTTCAAGCATCATATTTAAAAAAAAAAAAGATCAAAACAACTAATGCACACCCTGAAAAGCCTGAAATATTAACTCCCTGCTTGGTTTGTGATGTACCTGCCTATTTATCTGTTCTAAGGTATCGTGCTTGTGGCCATCAACCCATACGAGGAGCTGCCAATCTATGAAGAAGATGCCATCTATGCATACAGTGGCCAAAACATGGGGGACATGGATCCCCATATCTTCGCAGTGGCCGAGGAAGCCTACAAGCAGATGGCCAGGTGAGTGGGTGCTCAGAGTGGGAAAAGATGCAATTAAACGTGGGAATTATGCAGGGAAAGGGAAGCTGTGGAATTCTGCTTGCTGGCTGGACCCCGTCGTTGCTTTCCAAGGCTGCTGGGCTCATGGGGATCCCTGTGGTCCTCGGGAACTCAGGGATTTGGTGCAGCCGTGATTCTGATAGGGATCCTTCTCCTGCTGCTGCTTGGGTGAGCTTCCTGGATCAAGTTCAAACCACTCTGCAAATGTCATGTTTAATAGCTTGGAGGAAACCACATTTCAGATAATTTGGTGAGATAATCCAGCTAAACCCAGGAGCTAATGTTAGTTGTTTTTATGGAGACGTCGTGATTTTGAGTCAGGAGGTGACTGGCAGATATTTGGAGGTATTTATGGATCTTTCAAAGCAGTGTCTTCACCAGATGGATGTGGTGGGAGTTCTACTTCATTTGTTTCTGTGTTTGTTGTGTTGCTGAAGACAGATGTAGGATTTTGTTCTTAGCAGATAAGTCACGATCTAAAAGAGAATTTGGGAGGCAGCTGAAAGTTGTTGCACCAGGGATCATTTTATTATGGTTGTCAGGACTCTCACAGTGTGTTTATGTTTGCTTGTGGATTAGCTGAGATTTTCGTACAGCCCCGGCTTTTAATAGCAAGAGTAAGCACTGAACCACTTTCCAAGGGTTGCAACCTGTTTTCTGGGCTTTAGTGGTGAGTTAGGATGCATTTCTAATCAATGGTGTGCCAGAGTTCAATCCAGAAATGCATCTGGAGGAGCACTGCCATGAGTGGAGATCAGAGGGATTGTGTCCAAACTGAGTGCAGTTCACTCCCGTGAGTGCTTGTGCTTTGGGCAGATCTGCTTAGAGAAGAGTTCAGGAATTTGGGAAGCTGTCTAAAGGAAGAGGAAGGCTTAGAATTTTGTCCTTGTGCGAGTCCAGGATGAGCAGCAAGCTGCACGGGTTTTTTTAGAAGATATCAGAGCTTTGCTGACCAATGTGGACAGGACCCATGGATTTTCCTGGGCAGGTGTCTAAAATATAAGGCTCTTCTGAAACTGAAGTTTGTGTATTTTTGCAGGCAGTGGGCTAACAGTAAGCTCTAGCCAAAGATGCTTGACTCTGCTTTCCTTCTTGTCAGAATAAAGCTACTTTTGACAAGCAACTCATAATTGATAACTGCTGCCTCTGGGTGGTTAAGACTGCTCTGTTTTCAAGGGGACAGGAAAATAACCACCTTCAAAGCTCTTAAATAAGATGCTCACTGTTCAATGCTCCTCTAGTGCTTGCTGTTTTGGGCTGTTATTATGGTAATTGCGGGTTTGGGTACAAAAGAGTGTTTCAAACGGGGCTGAGAGGAGATTGGGATGTGGATTACAGGAATCTACCTGTTTATTTGAAATGTGCCTTAAAATGTAGCACACTGTACTTTAAGTCTGAAAGCTTCTGGGTGGAAGTTGTGTTTTCCACAGTTTGATCCGAGCTTTTCCCTCTGCAGTGCTCCAGGGAGAGGGGTGGAGCTGCTTGAACAGGGTGTGTGGATGGCACGGCTCATGAGTGATGGATGAAGGGCATTGAACAGGACTTCTTTTTGCCTTTTTTTAAACTGAAATACTGACTCTGTGGGATGCCTTCTGCCTGCAGCTCAGCTTTAGGCAATTGGGGTACACGTGAGGTGGGCCATGGGTGTTTGGGCAGCTCAGCCATCAGGGTGGAGGTTTGTGAGCATGTTAAACCTGAACTGGTGCAAAAACCTCACTTCCTTTGCAGTGTCTGAGCTTTTAAACAATTGGATTATATCTGGTCATCCTATAGCCCAGAATAAAATTCAAACTCTCCATCTCAGAAGGTCAAACTTGCAATGTGATTGAGAGCAGAAGAACAGTCTTCTGGATTCTTCTGAATATTTTAGCTTCATTAGTGGCCCAGAACACACTGGAAAGGGACAGTGGAGGTGATTGAATGGGATTGAGTAGATGGCAAGAGAAAAGGGCACAAAATCTAAGACTCTCTGAAAAATGAGAAAAATTGAGGTCATTAGATTTTTAGTTCTCTGAGCTTCTAGTATACCATGGCCATTTAGAGACAGGGTGCCAGGGCAGAGCTTAAGATACTGGTGGTGCACAAGTGTTAGTGAAGTGGTCCTGTGCCTTCTCCCCTGCCTCAAGCCAATAGTGTCCATGAGATGGGACTGGAGACTCTGCTGGATCCCGTGTTTGGTTTTGTCCTGTCATCAGAAAATGCCAATTTAAAAGGAAAAAAAAAAAAGAGGGGAAAAAAAGACGTGGGTGAGCTAGATAAAGGGGCTGCAGAGAGTGTACAGCAACATCTGATCCCTTTTTTGAGTCTAAGCAGTTCACAAAGCATCTGAGCACTTACAGTTATTTCAGCACGTGTTAAAACTCCCCTTTAAATATGAGCTTTTCCCCGAAGAGGATGTTTTGTAGAGAGTTGCTTTGTAGCACCTGCATGTAAAACAGCTTAAACAAAAAGAAAGGCAAGTGATTAAAATTCATATGTGACAGCCTCTAATTTTTGCACTGACCAGCTCTTTAGAAACTCCCCGCGTACCCAGCGTGAGACTAAATGCACTCAGTTCACTGAAAGAATGTTGTTTTAAGCAAAATACACAGCACTGAGTTAATTTGCAGCAAGTCTGCTACTGGAGGTGGTGGAGTCAAGCGTTGGGAGGGTGGAGGGAGGGATCATTTTGTGATTTTTAATAGCTGAGGCTGTGGGTTCAGAGCAGTGGGTGCTTTGGGTCACACATTACCTGCAGGGCAACGCAGCCACCTCCTCCCCTGGTCACGATCTCTGTCCTGGTGAGGTGCAGTGGGTGTTGCTGCCTTTTACACCTTCGGGGGTGCCAGGGGTGTTTGCAATCCTGAAAGCAGACTGAAAGCTCTGCCATGGTCACAGGGAGAGGCAGCGCAGCCACTGGTGCCTTGGCTGATTGGTTCTTGCTTTTCTCACAGAGGAACAAAAGATCCCTTGTGTGCCCAAATCCTGGTGGCAGCTCTGGTTTCCTTGTGTGTCAGTGTTCTGGGCAGAAGCAAAAATTCCCTTTGAAACTTTCCCTTTCGTCTGAAGTCAGCCTGACCAGCAGCTTTCCACACATGGGCAAGGGTTGTTACACACTTCTCTGTGCTGGGCACTGGTGAGGCCACACCTCAAGTCCTTTGTCCAGTTCTGGGCCCCTCAATTCAGGAAAGACCTTGAGGGGCTGGAGCGTGTGCAGGGAAGGGAACGGAGCTGGGAAGGGTCTGGAGCACCAGGAGCAGCTGAGGGAGCTGGGGGGGCTCAACCTGGAGAAAAGGAGGCTCAGGGGGGACCTTCTGGCTCTGCAACTCCCTGACAGGAGGGGTGAGCCAGGGCAGGGTCAGGCTCTGCTGCCAGGGATCAAGGGACAGGAGGAGAGGAAACGGCCTCAAGCTGTGCCAGGAGAGTTTTAGGTTGGACATCAGGAGGAATTTCTTAGTGAAAAGGGTTGTTAAATGTTGAAATAGGCTGCTCAGGGAGGTAGTGGAGTCCCCATCCCTGGAGGTGTTCAAGGAGTGACTGGATGTGGCACTCAGTGCTCTGGGCTGGGTGACAAGGTGAGGATCAGTCACAGGTTGGACTTGATGACCCTGGAGCTCTATTCCAACCTTAAAGATTCCATTATTCTTACCCTGACCTGTGTCCCTCTCCATGAAAATGTACCATCAGTTATTTCCAGCTCCATGGAGGTGACCAGAGTTTCGATGGTGACAGTGCAACACGAGCTTCCCCTTCCCAGCCTTTGGGAGCTTTAGTTAGATGTTTAGTTAGATATTCCCCTTTGTGTCTGCAGCTCCGTTTTTCTTCTTCCCAGCTTTTCTCAGCCAGCTCGAGTTGTTGGTGTGGTCACTGTGTTGTCTCCTGATGCTGAGCTGAGTCTATTAGGAAAATCACTGCAGTGTGCTTCAGCAGTGAATATATTTGTGTGCTTTGCTCTCTTTGGCCCCTGTCCCTTCATTTTGTCCTACCTGGCTTCACTCTGGGCACTGGTTGGGAGCTGCTAGTCCAAGTAAGGTTTCAAAACGCTTTGGGGTTTGTGGTTGGTTTTTTTTTCTTTTTTTGAATGTGTGATTTTTGTTTGTTTGTTTTTAAATAAAAATCATGCATTTTACTTAATAAAATACAGAATTGAACAGCACCAGGTGAGAGAGGTATGTGGTATGAATAGCACTGCTGTGGGCAATGGAGCAGAAGAATGGGCCCTCCAAAGGTTGTCAAACGTCTTTCAAAAGCAGGGAGCAGATAGTAAAGGTGATCTTTGCTCAAATCATAAATCAAATATTGAAGGTATTGTAACCCCCTTGCTGTATATTCTGTGTGTTTTCCCATTAGCACATCTGGATCTTGTGGTAATAGGAACATTACCTCACGTTTGTCGACCTCCTAACAGGTGTGACGTGGCAGCAGCCTGTGACAGATAATAACACAAAATAATTTCAGTGTTCAGGTCTTACCCTGGGAAAGACCTGAGGTACTTAAGGAGTTGTGAAAGCCTCCTAAGAGCATGGACTGGGTGAAGTGCCATGGCCTTTATTCCCTTGTGCATCCATCAGGCTGATGCTTTCACAGATGCATGGTGTCTGCAGAGCTGTTTCATGTGGCCAGGCACAAATATCTTGATTTGATTCACGTATAACTCTGCTAAACTGGAAATGTAGAATATTTTAATGTTTTTCCAGGAGTGTGAAAGGGCTCTGCAGAGCTTACCTGACCCTTGCAACGTCAGTGGGAAAGCAAGTGTTTTTGTAACCTGTTGGTTAGACTGGATCTTCCTCCCTCTCAGTGTGAGGATCCCCTCATGGTGTAGTGTTGTTGATAGTTCTTACAGAACAAATAAAAAAAAATAATTCAGGAGTGATTTGATGAGTGAGTTCAGCTTCTGCATATCTGGTCTAAACTGCAGCTCTCTGGGTACCAGATAATTAATCCCCTGTCTCTGCAGTTCAAATCAGGGTCAGTATCTA